AATTCTGATACCCACACAGATTTTTTCCGTTCTTCTTCCGACATCTGGGGCAAATGAAAACAGGAAAAGCGGTAGTAAAAATAAAAATAGAAAATACCTATTATAAGAACTATTGCGTAAAACACTTCTTTTGAAAAACACTCGGAAAGTCACTGTTTGAAATATTTTACCTTCTGAAAAACTGAGTATATCTTAAACCATTGTTTGGAAAATATATGAACTATTAGCCCATACCAAATAATTCAAGGAGGGGATAGTAATCTTTTGTCTATTAACGTAAATTAATCAAATTTAAAGTACCTATTTAAGACATGATGAATGTCTTAAACCTTATTTAAGACATAAGTTTTCTGTTTGCTAAAAATCGGAAATTGGCCAGCTTTTGATTTTAGAATACCTTGTATATTTTTACTTCACTTTATAGACTCACTTCCAAAAGTTAAGCACGGAGAAGAAAATGCTAATTTCCGGAAGCCAAGCTGAATTGAAGAGGATGCAATTCGCTGCAGAGTAGATGAAAATATGCAAATATGTTAGGTAACAACCAATCATGCTTTCATGTCAAGAAATATGCAAAAAAGGCAGTCTTATAAAAAGTCAGCTTTATGAAGGATTACAGAAGTTGATTGTAAGTGCTGATAGAAGGTGTTTAAAACTTTCGGACAATTTGTTTTCAAGACATACGTGTTTCTATGACTTCCAGAAGACAAATTAAAGATTCTGAGCGCTGGCGTGTTGTGGGGCGCATTGAAGCAGGGCAGTCGATCACAGATGTTGCTCTTTTCTTCGCTGTTCATCATTCTGTAATTTTACGTTTATGGAAACAATTCCAAACCACACAGACAGTTGTTCGAAGGTCCGTAGCCAGTCGTCCGAGAGTTACAACCCCGTGGAAGTTCGATATATTGCTATTGTAGCCAAAAGGAATCGCAGAGCAACCTCCACACGTGTGACATCTATGAGATTTCATTAGGATACCGCACCGGCCTGTACATCTTTAAACGGGGTTCTTTGACAGCTGAATGGTATCGAGATGAAGTCCTATAACCCATTGTCAGATTGTATGCTGCAGCAGTTGGCCCTACTTTTGTTTTAATGGATGATAACGCACGTCCCCCCTAGAGCTGAGATTATCGACGACTACCTGGAGAGTGAAAGGATTGCGTGTATGGCGTGGCCAGCATATTTGCCTGACCTTAATCTAATTGGAAATCTTTGGGATGCTCTCGGCCACGCTGTATTTCATGTTTCCCACCTCCAGCCACTCTTATTGAGCTGGAAACTGCTCGACAAGAAGAATGGCGATTGCTTAATTCTGCGGTGGTTGACCACGTAATTGAAAGTATGGTCACAAGGTGTAAACTTTGTATAGAGATGAGGGGGGATCACATACTCTATTATGTCCTTTTTTTTTTTTTTTTTTCATTTTATGCTGTTTATTTTAACTTTATACATAATACTGTTTAAGTCTCCAGTATGTCATTATCTAATAACTTACAAAAATGTAATATTGTTTAAATTTCTGTATATAATTATTGATTTTGTTTTATGCATAAATATATATGCTATTTTCCTGCCGAATTTTGTGTAAAAAAAAAGCAGTATTTGTTGATATTTTGCATTTTACATCTTTGTGCTTAACTTTTGGAAGTGAGTGTATCTCAAATATGTCTATTTTAAATTCAGTGGTACTCCATAAATATGTCAATACAGTCAAAAGTCATTAATTCGGACACCCATAATCCGGACCTCAAAGCTAAAATCTTTCTGCGCACAGGCGTTCAAGCGTGTGCGCAAGACTTTTACGACTGCGCATATGCGTCTGCGCAAACGCAGAATACGTTTTCGCGTGTGCGTTTAATGTATAACGGACGGTATAAGCTAAGCTAAAATTATCTAATTATCTATTTCAGTTAATGTTGATGATTGCATTGTTCCTTAATCTTCGAATTGGATCCGGCTTATTATTTTTTGCAGACTGTAAGAGCAATTTTATAAAAGTAACCTTGAACTTTCGATTATGTCAAATAGAATTTCCGATGCTGGAGCTCCCAAAGGATCTACAAAACGAAAGTATGTTTCGATGTCCATCAAACAAAAAGTGGAATTGCTACAAAAAATGGATAAAGGCATATCCTTTGTTTATCTAACCGTTCCAAAATCTGTTTATCAATTTCACGCTGCTCTGCGTGGGGGGGGGGGACATCGTGGCGTGCAATGAACTGGAAGTTGATCTGTCAGCACTATCGTTATCTTCAGAGCAGATGTTTTTATTTTAATTGGCTTATAATTCCTTACTAAATGAAGTATTTCATCTCGATGTACTCCATCTTTGATATGATTTAAATCAAATTCCTCGTCATTATAAATATCACAAATACAAATCAAATAGTTTTCTGGTTGCAATTTTCTAGTTTCGGCTATGTGTAATGTATGCTTTACGCATGCGTGCGTTGAAAGAAATATTTAATAAAGTAAACAAATAAATATTAAGCTTCTTTTTTGTAAATTTTGATACCCTTTAGATCATAATTGCTCATTATTTTATAAATTACGGTTTCATATTTATAATTTTATAATTTCTGCATGCCATCTTACCAGATTTAAACCGATGATCTATAATCCGGAAAAATCGATAATCCGGAATCGCCGAAGTCCCGACGAGTCCGGATAAAAGACTTTTGATTGTACTTTCTTCTAGAAAGATAACAATTTTTAGTTTAATAAACAAATGGTTCACGTAAAAAAAAAAAAAAAAAAAAAAAAAAAAAAAAAAAAAAAAAAAATTCTAGTAATTAGGCTCAAATAGTCGCTTTTCTGAATTACAAAGCAAACCTAAATTTAACATAATATGTAGGTGCACTTACCTTTTTCTATGTAAAATAAAAATAATAACAAGCAATCAGCAAAAAAAAATCAGAAAAAAGTTAAATGGCGCACAAATTAGTGCGATTATAACAGAAGACACAAAATAAGGATTAAGCAATTTGTCGAACGCGTCTATGGCGCAGGCCTCTACTCTTACGCACGCATCGGCATCGCATATTTTTTTTCATGTATATTTACAAGATCAGCTCAACTTATGTCAAAAACTGCAAAAAGCATTAAATGCTAAAAATAAAAGCGATATAAATCGCCGGTTGAAACTCTAAGCTATATCGTAGTCAACAACATTAGCCATATGCAGAAAGGAATTTTGGATATATCCTTAGATATCAGCCCTAGAGCATCTTTTGTGCCCTGTTGTAATCACACCTGTCTTAAACTACGCTGCGAACAACCATTTATTCAGTATAAACTTCTTAGATATGCATATTAATTTGGTTTAATTTTAAGGTAACAAATAGTGTTTGGCAATATATTTGGTATCCAGTGCGTTTAGTATATTATTTCGCTTCGCTTGCAGTGTTACTTTTGTACATCTCGTTATTGTTGTTGTTGATTAATGCTGACTTATCTGACCTACAGTTAGCCCAAGCCCACAAGATTCCTTGGGGCAAGGAGCTCAAGATATGCCTGTCGTTCGCAACAGCCTTCAGCACCTTACACGTGACAGTGCAATTTAGCTCAATTTCGCCTCCAATTTTGATGGACAGCACCACAGGGGGAACGGTTCCAAGCGTCTCGTACACCTGATCCCCTACCACCAACCTCTCCAGAGGACTTTTGCCTTACTGCATATTTAGAGTGCCCTCATGCTGCACAGACACTATACATTTACAAACATCCATGCTTTCTCCGGGAATCGAACCCGGGCCCTTCCGAACAGCAGTCAGCAACGTTAACCACTATACAGTTAGGCGACTTTTTATAACTTAATTATATGTATAAGTCTTCAATAAATATGTTTGAGTTTTGACAAAGCACAAAATGTTTGCATATTTAAATAAATTAAAAGATTAAATGTAATTTTTTTTTCATATTATTATGTTAATATATGTTAATAATGCTTCATTTTAAGTGTTAACTATAAGCAATTTCCCTTTAATATCATCTCTGCATAAAGGTGCTCGCCAGACATTTGCACGACAGCGTCGATCAGGCTTGGCGTGAGCCTGGGTACAACTGATGCCAAACGGAATATCTTCGCTGGTAAACTTTTACCCTTCATTTTCAAAACAAGTCGCAGCCATTTCTTGTCAGATTGATTGTTTCTTTCAATAACCGGTATACAATTACATAGAATTGTTTACCAGATAGTTAAATTTTGTGCACTAAGGACCATTCGCGGGCGGTATTCAAGTCAATTAAGGATGCAATCACACTGCTCACCTCGAATGGCGAAAATATAGAAAAGGCAAAATCAAGGGTTAAATTCATCAAATCTAATGAGCGAAGTAAAGCACTGTGGTTTCATATAATTTCTGAGTAAACTATTTGTATGAATTGAATGCATTTAAACTTGTACTCCATAAGATTTAATTTAAGATTTAACTTGAAATTAATGTAGATAATTACTGAGAGAATTAGATTTTTGTAGCGTAGTTTACATGAGATAAGATCACTTGGGGTCAGGTCAGGTGATAGGAACCGGCGAATTAGGATGTTGAACCATGAAAGCATAGTACACTCTTAAATTAATGTCTTTTTACAAATTTATTGTCATTTATTGGCTTTCTATAAAATTTTAAACCATATTAAAACATTTACGCCTTCAAAATAAAAAATTCTTAGAACTAACATTTGTTAACATTTTTTATGTGTATACTGTATGCTGTTGCCAACAAAGTCTGGTTGGCGAGATTTGCAGTGGCGAAACAGAAAAGTACCGCCTATATTTCAAAACATTTTGTCAAAAATGGATTAATTTTACCGGTCAGAAACTTCATTCTTGATGCGTTATTAAAGTCACTATTCAATATAGTCAATTCATTTTACAGTCTGAGTATTTAAGGCACATTTTCAACTAAACAAGATAATATATTTTACACATTAAGAACAGATATAGTGCCTAGTAGAGTTGCATAACAAATTAAGATGTTTTAAATTATCATTCTTACTTCACAACTCCTTGATCTTCAGCATATGCTTGTATTTCTTCTCTGGCTCGCTCTTCAGCCAGTTCTTTCTGTAGCTGTTCAATCTTTTGTTTCTCAACTTCATGCTTTTGCTCTGCTTTCCAAACTCTCTCAATGTTCCGCAGCGTTGATGGATGCCAAGATTTTTTCAGATTCTACAAATGGAATATAAAAAAGTAAAAATTAAATAGACTTCAATGCAGTAAACATTTTAAAATGAGAATTTTCAATGTTCTACATCATAGGGCATAAAGTAAATTCAATAATATAATTTGACCTACTGCAGCACTTCTCAGTCTGTGGTCCATGAAGCCTACCCTCATGGTCCTCTTATCAGACAAAAACTCAATTTAACTGCATATATCACACTATAGCTGAAGAATCTGTGTTTGAAATGGATGGATAACTTACTTATGGTACCTTACACTCGAGCATTTAAAATATTTAAAGCACTATGGTGCTTCTTACCAACTTGCATTCAAACATGGAACAGCTATGCAAGAATTCATAGGCTCTCTGTCTCATTAAGGTGAGTACCAATATTTGTTTAAGATTACACAAACTCTAATAGCCTTGAATTATTAAAAACAAATATCAGCTTTCTTTTATTAGCATAATTGATTAATAATGATATAAAATTAAATTAATTTTAATTAATTATATTTTTTTAATTTAAGCATACGTACGCTAATACATATCATAAAAAAATTGCTTTCGAAACTGAAAAGAGTAAGATGGTCTGCAAGAAAATTCTAATTTAGAAAAGGGTCCTAATTTGAAAAAAGTTTGAGAAAAATTAAAAGATTAAATTTAGTATCTCTTTTAACATTTTCACTCACATTTTTTGTAATAAAAAGCATATAGATATTTCATATATAAAACTCATTCTTAAACTGATTGACTGAAATACTTAAATTGACTTTCAAAACACTTCATAAAAAGGTTTTTTTTTTAAGCATAATATTATTAAAAGCACTTGAATTTTTCCTTAAGAACTGCATTTTAGATAACATAAGGTTGAATGAAACAATAAGCATTAAAAGACAAACAGATAACTGTTAAACCATTCTTCTTCTGGGTTTACTCTAACACCTTTTTATTTAAATTACAAAATACTTGTTGATCTAGCTGTAATCTATAGTTACATCATTTGTGTTTGCAGACACAAATTCAAGTGTTACTATATATGTAAAGCATCACAACTTTTATCAAATTTCTAATACATGCAAAATGAATATTCCCCCCCCTTTCAGATACAGTTAGATTTGGAGTTTCAGTTTTTTCAACAATACACCCTCTCTGGTATTTTACATTTAACCTGATAAAAGCAGTAAATCACCAAATACTGTTTCAATCATCACCACTGACACTATAATCACTCTTTGTGTGGATCAATTTCTAATCATCAAAACTTGAATTGACCACGATTACAATACACTTAATTATGATAAAAAATTAAGATTTGTTCACAAGGTAGAAGGTGTGCTGTTTTTTCAAGAAAAAGACATTTTGGGGCTAGATCGCAGATTAATGTGTTACTGTCACCCAATTGCGAAAACTCGCCTCTGACTATATCACCACACTGAAATTTTGTTCTACAAGATTCAGGGCATTTATAACATGAGCCTGCACTTTTTAAAATTGCAATTTTACTACACTTTTCATTGAACATGGTTAATGTCAAAACTGTACATTTTACACGGCTGATTAAGTTGCAAAATAAGGGTAAAAAGTTTGTATTAAAATGGTACATGAACACAAGGTTGATTTTAAATGTGTACAAGTGTGTCCTAAGTTCCTAAGTAATGTGTCCTAAGTTCAAAAATAGTATGAAATTAGTTGAACGAATAGAGGTGAAAATTTTGTGTCAATGGAGGTGTCGAATTTCCAGTCCTCGCAAACACAATGTCAAAAGGAGTGTAAGAAAGTGCTCTTGGTTTTCCAAGGGACGTGATCCTTGAAGCCTGTGATATAATGAAAGCCTGCGATTCAATAATTCAACTAACAAATATCAGCTTTCTGCTAACATATCTGTGGGGTCAAAAATATACAGATCAGTTCATTATGGATGAGTTGCATATGAGTGACCACACTGTGGTAAACTGGAAGATGTTTTGTAGAAAGGTGTATGACCGAAGATATGCAAGCACATTCATTAATTTAGTATTTGAACAGAAGAAATAAGCAGTTTGACATAACTAAGAAATTTAAAAACTTGCCACTGAGAACAGTCGTCTAAGGATGTTGGAAAATTTTTATCCCAATTCTTGAAGTAAAAAATCCTAATATTTCTATATAAGGATAAGTAACATATAAAGAAAAAAAATGTTTATTCCTAATTCCATATATTGTCAACGTTTACAAAAAAGATTTGTTTGCATATTATAAATTACAGGCATTATGAAGCCATAACATTAAAAGTAAAATAATAATATAAATAACAAAAAAATACTTTCCGCGCTTTTTAAATTGGTTTATATGTTACAGAATTACAATTATGATTGATATATGCACAATATACAAGGCATTTTGAATTTTACCTTCCTTTTTCTCTACATTTCTTCATAGTTTTAGCAAACAAATATGTTTTTCTATTATTTATTGCACATTTTAAATACTAATATTTCTTAACTTTCTTTTTGTTTTTAGTTCTATTGTTTGTTCCTCTCTCTGTAAGATTTTAGTTCTTTGTAATTTTTTGCCTAACCATTGGGGGGGGGGGAATTCTGAAGCTTTCAGATTTTACATTATGCCCATTGGGTGTTTTTTTAACGTTTTGAGTGTTACCTTTATTTATTAAATATCATGTTTTTTGCACTTAAACCATAAAACTCAATTCAACAGCAACATCGCAAAATAATTTTTAAATGAGCATAACTTTAGAATTTCCGATAATACAGTCTCACGCACTGGAGATAAAAATGCTTTTTTCCGTACAGTGTTGCCATTGCTCACTTTGAAATCATTGAGTTTCTTAATCAAAAATTTGTTAAAGTTTTACATAATATGAATAGCTGAAAATAAAACAAATTCCAAATTTGAGCTTCCAGATGTCCATATTCGGGTGGAAACGTACATTATTCAAAATTTGATGGCTCCTCTGGGTACCTTTGTTTTATCACAATGCAAGAAACATACATACACTTAGGCAGATTCTTCATTACTTAATTTCTTTAAATATAATACTGGGCTGTAATATTTGGTCACAGCAGTTTGAAAAGTGAATTGACATTTAAAGTTTTCAATGCGAAATGCCAAAACAAAATTAATAGCCCTTCTGTGCTAACGCCCTTTGGGGCTAAAAAAAAATTTCTTTACGTTATTGAAATATAATAATTTGTATTTATTTATTTTGTTTGCTTCTGCTGTTTTTAAATATGAGGTAGGTAGCAAGTTCTAATATGGTTGACATCATAGTGAAAAGTGGTCCGAATAGTAATACTAAACAGAAGTCTCATCAATAGTCAATACACATATTAATTTACTTTAAAATATGGTACATTTTTGTTTCTCTTTTTTTAATATGTTTCGTTCAGAATCGCAACTGTCTAAATGCAACGACTTGGTGAATTGGTGATTTTTTCAAAACACTCCAACTGGCCTACAATCTGCAGTCTATCTGACATTTTGCCTACAAATGCAACTTGTGCAAAAAATCACAAAATAAGGTTATATTTTAAAGACAGCATTTGATAGAAGTACAACACATCAGCTTTGTTGTAGCAAAAAGAGTATTCATAAAAGAACATGATTTAAATCATCGAGTGTTCTTAGTCTCTGAGTAAATTACTGTATTTGCCGGGGTATAGAACAAACTGGCCTATAAGACTCACCCCTTTTTTATACACAGTTTTGAAGGGTAAAACTTTATTACTGATCATTATAATTCTGCCAAGTTCTTATCCTTTTCTCAGTTGGTGGTGGCCCAAAATGCTTCTCTGCAGCACTGTTTACATGTTCTTTAGCATACCCAAACACACGTAGCTTGTATGCTATGTCATAGCAATACCGGCGTTGTTTTTGAGCCATAACTTGCCAGCAAATTTAAGAAAATTGAACAGAACAAATTTCACACACTTAAAAAGTGTTCACAAAAATTGAAAAGTTTAAACGAACCCAGCTGTGATTGTCGCTGAGAGCGCATTCACTAAACTCTGTAACTGTAATATTCCCATGTCTTAGAAACGTCAAGAAAAAAATCACATAACTCTGAATAGAGAAAATTTCTAGGAATGAATATAATCAAAAACTGAATATCGACATATAAGATGCACCCCATTTTTCAGACCTATTTTTAAAGAGAAAAAGTGCCATCTTATATACGCCACCAAATACTAATTATAATTTTCAATTTATGATTATTTCTCATGAAAGTAGTTGTTTCTTTTTAAATTTTAAATGGAATAGGATGTTTTCGCTTTTCTTTTTCTTGATTTTAAAGTATTTGAATTTAATCCACTGACTTACCCACTTCAATTCTTCAACCACTAATGTCAAAGTAAGTACACTGTTGGCAAAACAAACAAAAAATCTGATGTTGATAACATTTGCACACACAAGTAAGAGAACATCAACATTTTCTATCTGCTGTTGATGACATCTGCATATTCTAACCTTTTTGAATCAGTTATATAGTATATAATTAATCTGAAACTTGATTCATTTACTCATTTTACACATATGCGAGTTCAAGTTTTGCAAAAGAACTATTTCAAGGTTTCCTATAATTATACAGAATTAGCACAAAATCAGTTCTCAAAATACTTTCTTCATAAGAAGTCCTGGTACTTTTCCGTTTCGGCGGCGCAAATATTGCCAAGCATACTTTATTGGCGACAACATACAGTATACACATAAAAAATATTTTAAAAATTTTAGTTCTAAGAATTCTTTTTTTGAAGGCATAAACATTTTAATATCGCTTAAAACTTTATAAAAACCCAATAAATAAAGACAATAAATTTGTAAAAAGACATTAATTTAAGAATTTACTATGCTTTTGTGGTTCAACATCCTAATTCGCCGGTTCATATCACGTGACCCCAAGCGATCTCATCTCATGTAAACTACTCTACAAAAATCTAATGCTCTCAGTAATTGTCTACATTAATTTCAAGTTAAATCTTAATTCGGAACACAAGTTTAAATGCAAGAAATATTTCAATGCGTACGAATAGCTTACTCAGAAATTATGTAAAACTGCAGTGCTTTACTTCACTAATGCATTCTCATTAGAATTGATGAATTTAACCCTTGACTTTCCTTTTCTATATTTTCGGCTTCAGGGTAAGAGTGTGATTGAATCCTAATTGACTTAATTACCGAAAAATGACCTTGGACATAAAACTGAACTATCTGATAAAAATTCTATGTAATTATTGCCAGTATTGAAAGAAACAATCAATCTGATAAGAAAAAGCTGCGACTTGTTTTGAAAATGAGGCGTAAAAGTTTACCAGCAAGAATATTCCGTTTGGCATCGGTTGTACCATTATTAGCGACTTTATCGCTTGCGCCGACAAAACGGAAAAGTACCGAAGCCCTTTATTTAGAATCTTTGGCAATTGTCATTTAACTATCTGGAAATTTTACATAACATCTGTCATATTTAACTTTTGTTAAAGTTTATAATTAATGAATGTAGAAATAAAATTTTAATTAAAAAATTTTTAAGCCTAGAATTTACTGATATCTTGAACAAAAGTAATCAGTTTCCGTGTACAGTAACAAGTCTATAATCCAGACGTTCATAATCCGGAATGATCTATAATCCGGACATCAAAGCTACAAACTTTATGCGCATGCGTAAACACATAATGCATTTAATGTATAATGGACGGTATAAGCTAGGCTAAAATTATCTAAGGCATTTCAGTTAATGTTGCAGATTGCGCTGTTCCTTAATCTTCTAATGGATCCTTCTTATTATTTTCTGCAGACTGTTAGAACCATTTTATAAAAATTAAGCTTGAACTTTCGATTATGTCAAAAAGAGTTTCCAATTCTGGAGCTGCCAAAGGATCTACAAAGCGAAAGCATGTTTTGATGTCCATTAAACAAAAAGTGGAATTGCTGCAAAAAATGGATAAAGGGCATGAAGAAAGTAGCAGAGAGGTGATTTATTTCTCTAAGCATTCCGAAATCTGTTTATCAATTTCACACTGCTCTGCGGGGGGGGGGGGGGGGGGGGGGCAAATGTAGAAAATATAGAAAATGCAAAGTCGAGGTTTAAATTCATCACTCCTAATGAGAATGCACCAGCGAAGTAAAGCACTGCTGTTTTACATAATTTCCGAGTAAGCTATTCATGCGAATTGAAATAATTCTTGCATTTAAATTTGTATTCCAAATTAAGATTTAACTTGAAATTAATGTAGATAATAATTGAGAGAATTAGATTTTTGCAGCATAGTTATGGTGGTATGAGATCACTTGGGATCACATGATATGAAACGGCGAATCAGGATGTTGTACCATGAAAGCATCTGGTAAATTCTTAAATTAATATCTTTTTAAAAATTTATTGGCTTTATTTATTTTTTTTTTACAAAATTTTAAACGATATTAAAATGTTTATGCCTTCAAAATAAAAATTTCTTAGAACTAACATTTGTTAATATTTCTTATGTGTATAATGTTTGTTGTCGCCAATAAAGTCTGCTTGGCGAGATTTGCGTTGGCGAAACGGAAAAGTACCAAATTATACACATAAACTTTAAAAATACCACGTCATTTAAATATATTTGTCAGAAAGATATTACAGTAAATGAGACTGAGAATTCTACATCTTCCAGAAAACGGAAAGTAATCAGCTACAAGTGAAATGCTAAAGAGAATGAGGTAAATTTTACTCTTGATTTATTCGATATTACCTTATTTTGGCATCATGAATGGGTTATATAACGAATTCGAATGGCCATCCCATATTATACTTGAAATGATTCAAAGTTTACCCGCTAAGAAAGATACTACGCACTTTGCTTTTATTCAGAACTCAAGAAAAATTAAAATCTTTGAAAATAAATGAAAAAAATTCAAACCTTCACACTTAAAATATCTATAATTTTCAGTTCGAATCGTTTTAAAACTTACCAAATCACCTCCACCCATGGCAAAGAGGAAATATAAAACAGTAACAAAATTACACAATCTACCAAGAAGTTTCCCAAAGCTTTGTAGCAAAATCGTACGGTAGAACTACGACTATGTGATATAGACAAAACTATAATTTACAACAATTACAGGAAAAAACGCAAAATAATTTGTGTACATCACAGAGTCTTTCTGCCACAAGGTTAGCAATGGATAGAAACTGCATTTACTAAAATGCATACCTGGATAACTCTCGCGCATGCTCTGAATGGTGCAGGTTTTTCAGTTATCAGGATAACCAGTGGCTCCCAAAAGTAAGGCTCCTATATAGATAATTAGAGGAGCCTTACTCAAAAGTGTTCGTACACTTATGATCTTTATTGAAATAGGGCTCTATCCATTAATTAAAAGTAAACTTTCTGAATGAGATTTTAATAATAAGATCTATAATCTATTCGTAACAAAATTACATGAAATATTTTTGAAATATAGCAAAACTTTATTTTTAAAAAATTAATAAGAAAAAATTAACAAACATTTTATCTCACAAAAGTCTTGGTACACTTCAAAAAAATCTTGACATATTAGTAAATAGTTTCATTTTTCATTGAATTAATATTTAGTAGGATATCCCTCACCATCCACAACAGGTTTTAAACGTCTAGAAATAGATTTTACTAGTTTTTTTTTAAATTTCTGTGTCAATGTTCATCATGACTGCTATCATGACTGTTTTGATTTCGCGTTTCGTTTTGATATCGTGTTTTCGTACTCTAACCTCCAGTTCTTTCTAAACGTGTTCTATGGGGTTTAAATCTGGAGACTGAGGTGGTGTTTTCAAAACCTGTAGACAATTACAGAGACACCACAGGCGATCGTTGAGAGCCGTATGCTCAGGATCGTTATTATGATTAAAAAGAAAGTTGTTTTCAATACCCAAATTTTGGACTGATAATTTTCAATTGTCTCTTAAAATATTTAAATAAAGAGAATGATTCATTATGCCATCAATAAATACCAAATTAGCTAGTCCTGATGCTGCCATGCACCCCCACACAAGAACCGCAGTGGTTAATCGCATCAACGGGGCGAATAGCCAAGAAGCTATTCACACCACCTACGTGCGCGCATGCGCAGAATCAGCCCAGGTACCAGCAATTTACGCCGATTTCCGTAAGGTAGACGGTAGCGAGAGCGAAGATTGCTATAGAAAGGGTTGTTATTAATTGGTTACCAGCAAGAGAATAATTTGTAAGTAATAATTATCGGTTACAAAGACGAAGTCAATCTATATACATGATAATATTCAGCAAATGATTAGATAAAATAGGGATTTAATGATGGTTCTATTTGCAAGAGAGGATGTGTAATTAGTTAATAAATCTTTAATGTATTGACAAAAAGGCTGAAGAAATTACTTAAATTCTTTTATTTAACAGAGAAATTTTTATGCAAACTTAGACCGTAGTCTTATAGCATTGGACTGTCAGAATTATTATTCAATAAGAAAACTTAGTGATAATTACAATATTCTTATATATTCATCACTTTTTCAGTATCCACTCATGTTTATAGGTTAAAATGCCATATTCAAAATCAAAGTATTTATGAAATAAAACCTTATAAAATCTCATAAATCATTTGTGTGTGCAAATTTTTAAATCTAAAACTCTTACATTAAATTATTTCTCTCTTTTAAATGACATATCATTATTTATTTCAATTTAATTTATTAATGTCTTTACTAATATTTTCAAAGCTCTTTGAAGTACCTTTTCGTGTCCTGAAAATGCCAAGTACTTCTATAAAAAAAATAAGCAGATATACAGAATTGTCAATAACCAGTGTTGTATGATTCATGTATTAGTTGATTTAATCGCTTTTAAGTCATTTCATGTCTAAATTTTCTACACAGAAATCATCTGCCTAATTTTTATTATCTTTTCTCGGACGAAAGTTTTAAAAGAAGAATGAATTAAAGTCTTGAATGCGCAAAACACATCTTTGAAGCTAAATGTATTCTAAGAAGTACAAAAAATTTAAACACTTTTTGTCAATACATTAAAGATTTTTTAACTAATTGCACATCCTCTCTTGCAAATAGAACCATCATTAAATCCCTATTTTATCTAATCATTTGCTGAATATTACTAATCAGTCCCACTAATCAGTCATTTAAACCCCTCCCACTAATCAGTCATTTAAACTATTCCAACCGTTCAGGAAAACGATAAACATTGCGAACATAAAAATCTACTCTTTTTTATATATACTTTATTAAAAAGAAACGTTTCTTCTTTTTATAAGAAAAGGAAGCCATTTTCCTTTCTAAACTTTTGAAAGTCGCCAACGCTTAAAAAATGATAAACTACGCCAAGGTAGTAACTCGCCTTTAAAAAAACAGTTTCTGGCAGTTCGCGTACCTGGAATCCGTTACGGATTTGACAATTCAATGCGTGTGCGTGGTTAATGGTGGTGCGAATAGCTTAAGCGGCTAATCGCACCAGTGGTGCGAATAGCATCGGCCCACAAGAACACCTCCACCTCTACGCAGTGGCTAATCGCACCGAAGGTGCGAAGAGCTAACAGGCTATTCACACCATCTACGTTCGCGCATGAGCACAAGCAGCCCAGGTACAAGGCAGGCGTATGTGAGAGCAAAGGTTGTTAACCCTAATTCAGCAATAGAAAGGGTTGTTAATAGCAAGGTTTCTAAAATATCCTAAGTAATAGAATACGTATTAGAAATAAGAAAGTATTTTACTGATCTTGGTTATAGTTCACCAGCAAGAGAATAATTTGCAAGTAATAACTATGAGTTACAAAGACGAAATCAATCTATATACATGATAATGTTCAGGAAATGATTAGATAAAATAGGGATTTAATCATTGTTCTAATTGCAAGCGAGGACGAGTAATTAGTTAAAAAATCTTTAGTGTATTGACAAAAAGACTACAAAAATTACTTAAATTCTTTTATTTAACAGAGGAATATTTATGCAAACTTAGACCCTAGTCTTATAGCATTGGACTGTCAGAATTTATTATTCAATAAGAAAACTTAGTGAAAATTATAATATTCTTATATATTCATCACTTTTTCAGTATTCACTCATGTTTATAGGTTAGAATGCCATATTCAATATCAAAATTATTTATGAAATAAAAACCTTATAATATCTGATAAATTATTTGTGTGGGCAAATTTTTAAATCTGAATCTCTTACATTAAATTATTTTTGTCTTTTATATTACATCCCATTATTTATTTCAATTTCAATGATTAATGTGTTTGTACTAATATTTCAAAGTTCTTTGAAGCACTTTTTGTGTCCTGAAAATGCCAAATAGTTCCATAAAAATATAAGCAGGCATACAGAATAATTCATTTAATAGTTCATATAATCGCTTTTAACTTATTTCATGTTTAAATTTTCTACACATAAATCCGCTGTCTAATTTTTAGTATCTTTTATCGGACGAAATTTTTCAAAGAGGAATGAATTAAAGGCTTGATTGAGCAAAACACATCTTTAAAGCTAAATGTGTTCTAAGAAGTACAGAAAATGTCAACATGATTTTGTACCCCCCCCCCTTCAAATCAGTCATTTAAACTATTCAAACAGTTCAGGAAAAGGATAAACATTGCGAACATAAAAATCTGCCCCTTTTTTTATATATACTTTAATAAAAGGAAATGTGTTCCTTCTTTTTATAAGAAAAGGAACCCATTTTCCTTTCTAAGCTTTTGAAAGTCGCCAACGCTTAAAAAATGATAAAATACGCCAAGGTAGAAACCCGCCTTTGACAACTCAATGCGCATGCATGGTTAATGTTGGTGCGAATAGCTTAAGGTATACCGGTGGTGCAAATAGCATCGGCGCCCACCGCCATGCTTAACTGTTCCATCTAAATTCTTAGAATGAAGTTCCTTATAATTTCTTCTTCATACAGTTATTCGACCATCGGAACCAAAAATGTTAAACTTGCTTTCATCAGCAAACAGGACATTATTCCAGTATGTTTCGGGTGTATTTATGATTGATTTTGCGAATGAAAGCCTAAGCTTTCCTCACAAACAAAAAAAGGTTTAAGGACAGAACGCCCATGTAAACCAGATTCTCTGAGAACTCTGAAATAGTTTCAGGTGAAATTGAAATAGAAAATTTTGCATTGAATTCCGCAGAAATTTTTACAACTATCAAACGCGGGTTTTTCACAAATTTTCTAACAATAAATCTCTCATCACGTTTAGTTGTTTGAGTAATACCAGCTACAACTCAACTCTGTTTAAGTTTTATGTTTTAAACCAAGGAGGTTAGAATAGAAGGAGGGAAGGTTCAACTCAAACGGTGAAGCTTGGCGGCCATCTTCCTGTTATCACCGTGACTTGTGCAAGGAAGTCTGTCATTGCAACATTTTTTTCTTTTCTTTTTGAAGCACGTCAGCTTGTATTGCATATGGATGCACAAATAGATTCTCGAAAAAAATTCCGGGCATTATTTTTCACACGTAAGTTTTAATTTTCTTTTTCTTTTATGTAATATGACAACTATGTCAAAAAATATCACAATGTCATGTGTGGTTTTCTTTCCAGATGTGAAAAAAGGACTTAAAATAGGTTATTTAATATAACTATAATCAAAATATATTAAATACATTTTAATGTTTCTGTTTATAGCTGGTATCTTCGTTCCTTAAGATACAATGCTATATGGTAGGATTTAAATTGTATAATTTGAACGTTTTAGTTAATTCGTTTTATAACTTTCATGAAAAGTAAGAAATCAATTGTTACTATTTTTGTTAATTGTAAAGGTGTTAAATAAATGTGTTAATAAAGCAATGCTTTTCTTTATATATTAATTATTATTCATTTTTTTAAGTTAATATAAACTGTTCTGTTGTTAAAAATTTTTTGCATAAACTTACAAATTTCTGAGCAGTATAGTGATAAAATTAAGTAAAATATTTACACAATTGAACATGTGGAAAGATGTATCCAAAAACTTATATAGGTGTATTTCTGTAATTCAACTTAATTAAAGGCAGTTTCTTTGAGATTAATAAATATGAAATGCGCATAAACTGAAATCAATGAATTCTGTTTTATTTTATTAAGATTTATTTTCTAACCTAAGCGAATTCGTGAAATATGCAGAAACATCATTTTTAAAGGCTTTAATGTTATGC